GCGCGATAAATAATTCATGCGCCCGAGGACCAGAGCCTTTCACAACTTCTCTCTCAGTTTTAGCGCCGGCGGAAGACCAATCTTTTCTTTAACGTAATCACTTCATCGACTTTCAGCCACACGGTTTGATGTTCGAGAGTGTAGGCGTGTTTTGTCCCAACGATCGGCTGGAACTGCTCACGTTGCTGAGGAACGAAGACATTTTGATCGACTGGTCGAAGCCATTGTACATCAATTTCATACATTACGATATAGCCGAAGAGTTAATGCGCCTTTACGAAGGTACTGGGACTATAGAGAGGGTAGTGGGAGATGTCTTCATGTGCGAGGATCCTCAGAATGAGAGCGTCGAAGAGCCGAACGAGGACGCAGACCCTGACATACAAGTTCGGCCGTTGAAAGCAGAACACGCCGAAGGGATTTATGAACTGTATCCTGCTAACGATATGGAGTGTCATGAGGTCTTTTTGCGGCTGATCAGTACCCTGCCAGCGGCGGGAGTGTTCGCGAAGGAAAGCCTGGCAGCGTGGATGGTTCAGTCTTATTACGGGGCGATGTTCTCCATGCAGACGAAGCCAGAATACAGAAGGAAGGGCTACGGTACAAAATTGGCAAGGTAGGGGAATTCTACTTTAGTTGGACTGCTTGATAACATAGTTTAACACTTTCTCTGCTACTAACGCGTATTCAAGTAAATCATCGTTGTCGCATCTTCAACTTAATGACTAAAGTATTTAGTGATATTTTCGATAGAAACAGAAGAATGCAAGTTCAGAGATGGACAATCAGATTTAGTAGCAGCGAACGTAGAACAGATAGTTTCGAAGAACGTCTTTTTACCAACGATACTTTTCCATTCATAATAGCAAAATCGTAGGTATTTGACGAAGAGAGTCGCCGAGAGAGGATATCAACCGTTCGTCGTCATACGTCCCGAGAACGAAGCCAGCCAGAGTTTATACAAAAAGTTGGGCTTCAGGAAGCTGTACCAAACCGTGCGAATGACATTCATGCCGTCAACGTGGCAAGACGAAGAAACGAAGATGAGCCAAGTATTACGAGAGAACTTGGAGAACGCTGTTAGACAGCTAACCATCGAGCAGAAGATCGTGGACGCATTTAGAAACGAAGATGCGATCACTATTACTCATGAGCCTGAGGTACGATCCGAGGAGGATGAAAATCCTTCGCAGGAGCAGACTGAAGGAAGAATAGAAATGACCGAACTTCGAAACGAAGAAGAAACTACCGAAGAACAATCTGCCGAGAATCCTGAAGAAACGGCGAACGATAGCAATCAAGATGACGGGGTAACAGACGCTGAGTACGCGGAATAATTGACAACTTACATGTTCGATTATTCGATAAAAGGTCCATGATTTACGTCGACTTGTTCACTCGAGGATACGCTCTTCCTTTCAAGGTTCCGACAAAAGAATTGAGATTGATCGATCATGAGGGAACTGTATGTAGCAAATGTTGCCAGCCGAAAAAAATTTCACTTTATATTTACAAAAAGCTGACTTGAAACGCACCACGAATAAGCCACGGTTTTTTAAAAAATGATTCCCAAAGCTTTTGCAAACAGACTGAATCAAAGCGACAACAACTGAAAGTATTAGTTGCGATAGTTATATGATTTTAGATTATTCGTTTGATAATATGGCCCTAAAACGGCAGTCCTTTGTGAGGGAGAGCTCTCGAGCGACGCGAACGACACTAGGGGAAAAAGAGAGATGAAATTATTTTAAGAAATTTAACAAATTTTACGGCACCGCGTTCGTGCGAGGCTTCAATTCGCGTACGAAGATACGAAGTACATAGATAAAAGATCTACGTACGGGTTCCTCATATCAGACTGCTTGAAGTATGTCGTGAAGATCTCAGGAAACAGTTAGATGTATTCTTTGAATCGCCAAGTTTAGATTCTTTCAAAGTCTATCTGTACCTGTTGTATTTGGTGGATTCGTTGTTCCCAATGGTTAACGTTAAATGTGTAAGGATCGTATATCTACGTGAAATATATATTTGGAAATATAACCTGAAAAATTAGTCTCTCGTTCGATCGTGTTTTCAGACTGATCGTTGTAACCGATGATGCATATTTGTGTCCTTGACGGAATAATACTTACGTGTTCTTATCGGGTAGCGTGCAAGTTCGATGATTGCTTGTTGAATTAAATATTTGACGAGTAGAAAGTTGAAAGCGACTGACGAGCAGCGAGAAACACGAAGAATCTAATATCCTCTAGCGACCAAAAACCATGATAGACTTTGAATTGCAAAGCCCACGTGTCTAAACGAATCCTATAATAAATGAAAAAAGAAAGAAAAAAAAAAA